CTTGTGACTCTGCCCATGGCTGTAGTAGCTTCATCAGAACTGCCTGGGATTGTAAGTAAGCTCGGGTGAGTCTCCGGGTTTCTAAGGACGGCCACCACGAATGAGACTGAATACCGTCTCGTAATAGGCATTGAAAAGTAAACCTAGGGTTTGGGGAAAGGTTGAAAACTGTGACGGGCTTTCTGGGTTCATAATACCGGGTTAGCTGTGCGAATCCCACAGATAATCTCTGCAGGATTGAGGGGGGAAAGCGGAAGAAAGGTGGTGTGGTGTAGTCACGGGAATACGCGGAGAGGAAAAGAGCTGTGGGTTCCTGGATCTCTGCAGTCGCGGGAAGGGAGGCAACAGCACTGGGTGGGGGAAGATGAGGGGAGCAGGCAGCAGGGCGAGGCCCCAGGAACGCAGCATGGCTGGGCGTGCAGTAAGAGCATGCTGAGTCATACTCTTTGGCGCAAGACTGTTACACTTACCCCTTGCTCAGAGCCCCGCAGTTGTGTTTCCTGCCTTCCACCCTGTTGTGGCGCCCCCTTGGCCTGCCTTGGAGGGGTACGGCGCGGTAGAGGGCTCTGGTTTGGCTCTTCTGGCCACATGAGAGACGTCTTGGGCAGAAGCCCCATGCCACAGACTTCTTTGCAGATGGTTTAAGCGGGGATGCAACACAGCTTCTCACTCACAGGGAGAAAATTGAAGCTAGAGATTGGTTCCTTTTAGAGGCCTTTGAACTCGCAAACCCAGACACATATGTGTCAGGAACGGAAACTGGCAAGCACAGTACCCCATAGTTTGAACTTAATCGCTTTTGGTACGCACTTGAAAAGATAAAATACCCCAAGACATTTAACTTTAGAAACTCGCTCCGTTGTACTGCACAGTAAGTAATTTTCACAAGGATTTGGCTGAGAGAGATATTCAGTATCGACATGCAGGAATGGTTTCAATATGTGGTGGGCCAAGAAAAACAAAGTCACTGTGACCCACACTTTGCAGATCTAAGAGGGACAGAGGAGCAAGTAGCAATAATTAATTCCAGTTCTGGAGAAATACTCTAACTGCAGCCACAGCCTCTGTTCTCACACTGCTCCGTGTCTCTGGGGGAGGGGACTTAGAGCCCCAACCCAGGGTGTATGGCCTAGGACGTAATTGTACAGCGAAGCCTGCAAGTAGTCAGTTAGGACGAAGCACCGTTTGGTCTGAAATATAGGAACTATGGACCAATGCTGCTCAGCAGTCAACTTCGGTGAGAAAAGAGGATGGCCACTTTGCCGGCTGCTGGCCTGTGGGCAAGTGATGGCAGGATGCTGCTCCCAGGGTGGGCATGGCTCTGATCCTTGGGGTGGTCTGAATGAGAATGACCCCTGTAGATGAAAATTTCTGTCCTGCCCTTCCCACAGCTGTTCAGTTCCAAATTAGCACACAGAGGTTTATATGAATTATAAACGGTTTGGCTTATTACTACCTAGCTCTTACAACTTAAATTAATCTGTAATTTTTATCTATGTTTAGCTATGTGGCTTGGTACCTTTTTCTGAGTAAGGCATTCTCATTTTCCTTCCTTGGCTTATGGTGGGCAACTGTGTCTCTTGCCTTTCCTCTTCCCAGAATTCTCCTGGTGTGGTCACTTTGCCTATTCTTCCTGCCTGGCTACTGGCCAACCAGTGTTTTATTAAACCAATATGAGTGACAAATCTTTACAGTGTACAAGAGCATTCTCCCATAGCAGACCCCTATGGGATCATATACTTGAGTGCTTGATCCCCTGCTAATGGAATTGTTTGCTAAGGATTAAGAGGTGTGGCCTTAATGGAGGAAGTGTGTCACTGGGGGTGGGCCTTGAAATTTCAAAAAGCCCAAGCCATTTCCAGTTCGCTTTCTCTGTCTTCTACTTGTAGATAAGGATGCATGCTCTCAGCTGCTGTTCTAGCATCGTGGCTGCTTACCTGTCACCATGTTCCCCACCATAATGGTCATGAACTCAACTCTGAAGCTGTAAGTCCCTGTCTTAGTCACTGTTCTATTGCTGTGAAGAGATACCATGACCAAGACAGCACCATGAAAAAGAAAACATTTGATTGGGGGCTTGCTTACATTTCAGAGGGGTCGTCTGTGACCACCTGGGAGGGAAGTATGACAGCAGACAGGTGAACATGGCACTCGAGTAGCAGCTGAACGGGGGGGGGGGGAGAGAGAGAGAGAGAGAGAGAGAGAGAGAGAGAGAGAGAGAGAGACTGGGTCTGGAATGGGCTTTTAAAACCTCAAACTCACACTCAGTGACACACCAACAAGGCCATACCTCCTAATTTTTCCTAAACAGTTCCACTAACTGGGAACCGAACATTCAGAATGTGAATCTATGGGGTGGGGGTGTCATTCTTATTCAAACCACCATACCCCCCCCCCCAATTCTTTATTGTCTAAGTTGCCTTAGTCATGGTGTCTTTTCACAGCAACAGAAAATGAAATGGCAACCTCCCTCCAACTTCCAGGGCAGCCAGACCCAAAGACAAGAGCTGCTTGCTCCTTACTTTGGCCTTGATTGGCATCTCCTTTATCCTCTCCTCTCCTTCTATGTACTGAAGAACACAGAAGCCCATATGTGCAACTGGGGAAGGACTAAGAAGCAAGAATGTTGGAAAACTGCATTAAAACTGTACTGAGAACATGACACTTCGCTGTGTGAATTGGCATTGTCTTGCTCTGAGGTCCCCTTTCCCACAGGGAAAGCCAAGAGAAGTCACTTGCTTATTTGATTAAGTTGGTCTGTTCTGGCTTGATGCAATTTCTTCAGTTATGTTGACCTGCTGTGGGTTTAATCTTTGGCTTCTCCCAGCCCCCAACTTCTCCTTTGGAGCTCCACCATGGTGGACACAGGTTGCTTTGTACTCCTGTGTCCTCTTAGGGCTTCTGTTGACTTCTTTTTGAGGTTCAACCCATCTCGCCACCTCTTTGGAAGTTAGACTCAGCTCCCAAAGGGTCTTGACTGGAGTGTCTTAGACCAGCAGGCTGGGTTTGAGCACAAGCAGAGGTTACCTCATGTCAGCATCTTCCACTTTGTCTCTCACTATGGGAGAGCCTCTGCGGTTTAGCAAGCAGCCCTAGCAGAGGAGCTGTCATGCTGTATGACAGAAGTCTCCTTACACCAACCCACAGGACTGTCAGAGAACATCTAGATGTCCTCACACCTGGAGTAACCCACGAGGAAATAGGAGACGGGTAACTCTAACCTGATGACTTGAGTCTTCCCGCTACAAATGATACTCTTCAGCTATTAAACCATACATGTGTTTACATGCACACGAACATGGAACAGTGGAGAGGGAAAAATGAAGGCCCAGTCTAGTGTTTGGGTCTTCACTCAACCTCTTTGGAAGTCTGTCATCTACCTTTCTTTTCCAGAGGCAACCCCTGGGACAGAAAGTCCTCTCCTCTCAAGGCAGGACAGGAATTGCTATGTCACTTTCTGTCCTTTGTTTATTGTGGCTTACTGCGAAATTCTCTACTTAGTCCCTGGAGCTTTGCTCTGGATATGAGCAAGATATCTTATGAGTAGGAGTGATACAGATTTCTCTTTCTTAACAAAACTCACTTCTAAGACAGTAGCTTCTTGGTGACTTGTAACATCCACTAGGTAGTGTGAGCTGTAGAAAAAGAATTTCTGAGTTCAAAGTTTTTCCTTCTTTCTTTTTTTTCTGAAATAAAAAGGGTAAAGATTCTGTGAGTGGATGAGCATCAAGATTGATAGACAATGAAAAATTTTTAGTGTAATATTTTCAGATACATGGTAGAAAGAGTTGGGGACTTGTGAGTTAGAAGAAGGAGATCAAAGGAGGTAGCTTCAGGTACAACTCACTCAGGAGCAAACATCCTAGCTTGCCATAGCTGGATCTTTTCAGATTGTTGGTTGTATGCCTCACCCTCATTGAGCAGGTTAGAAGATAATAGTCACAAAACCAACTGCAGGAGAAAAGACAGGCATGTCCCTCTTATCATGTCTGCACAGAGAAGCATCAGATTCCCCTGTGGCCCCGTGAGCACTTCCTGATCAAGGGCTTCTATGGGGCTGCTCCAGTGACTCTGGAAGGATTGGTAAACTTCCTTTGAAAAGTTCTAGGTCTGGACCATAGCATTTCTGGCTTTTTGTGCTACGACTCAGCTCAGCCGTGGGAGTAGCAAGACAGCATAGGCAGTTGGTGAAGCATGCCTTTCCCTCTGTGTATAACTCCACCACCACCACCAGGCAGAGATAACCTTGGCTCCGAAGTCATGGCAAAGACACAAGTAAGGCATATGATGATATCTTGGTCTACAATGGTGGTAATGGGACTACTAACTCTCCCCAGTAGAAGAAGTAGGGGAAGAACTGTAAGATACTCTCCTAAGAGGCTACTCACCTCTTTCTCCTGCCTCTCAGATCCATGTGATCTTGGGAGACACACGAACATATGGAAGGTGTGAAGATAAATTAAGGTGGGACTCCATTTTGCTGCTTCCATGAGGTCATCCATGACGAGGAGGACTTGGCAGTGATGTAAATGTTGGGGAGGTCACCCTCACTCCCGGAAGTAAATTCTCACCCATGTTCCTCTGAGTAAGCCCAACAAATGCATTGTTTCACCAAGTTGGACTTTGGCAGAATTGTTTCTTTGGGCTGCACTGATGCCCTGGTTAGGGTGAATAGATATTTATTTGTAACACAACCACAAAACATAGATGCTTAGGTGGCCTGCGTTCCTGGGCAACTTTACAAAACCAGGCTAGACTTGACCTGAGGGCTGTAGGATCTAGGATCAACTTTCTTAAACTGTGGGTTTGCTTAACAAAATGTGGGGATAATAAACATTTGGTGATAGTAAAAGGTTTCTGAATGTGCAATGACCAAAGAATTCAAAATCAGCAGTGCAGTGAATATAAGGTGCTTTGGGCCGTGCTTGCCTGTCTTGTGTTGTGTGAGTTCACTCCTGGCTTTGTTCAAACACACACCGGTTTCACTTTGTATTGTGCAGGTCGTCACCTCATGAAAAGCTGAAAGACATTGCCTGGAACACCTCTGTTCAGAGTGAAGATGATTGTGCTTTACAAGTTGCAGTGTGTTTGACTGCTTTCAGAGAAACACCACAATTTGATTCCAGAAATAAAGAATTTTAGATGTTTTCCTTGGTATGTGAGTATCAAATTAATATATCTTTGGATTTTTGTTGTGTTAGAATGTTTGCCTTTGAGAATCACTCTTTTGAATTTGCCACTTGAGCTTCATAAAAATTTATTAAATTAATTTTTGACTTGATGTTAGGATAGAATGTCTAAAAATTTCTGAACTGGCCCTAGATGTAACTTTGCTATTTTGAGCTATGTGTTTATGTGAAAAAGTGTTCTCTGCACTGATGCTTAAAACATCAAAATATTGATCTTCTCTGAAAAAATATTGAAGATGCTTTAAATTCAGTAGTATCAAATGTTCAGCCAAGGTTTAGTCCTGGATATAAACATAAGCAAGCACATCCACCTCACTGACATGCAGATCTGGATGCACTGTTCACAAATGCTAAAATTGCAAGCTTATCAGTGAATTGTTCCAAAATAAATTTCTATATGATTTATTCTCAATATATTTTATTTATTTATTTATTTATTTATTTATTTATTTATTTATTTATTTATGTTTAAGACTAGTCAAGTGCAGTCGTGAGAAGGGGGAAAGTGTAGAACAGGAGTTCAATCTGTAACTGACTGTGAACAATCAATTGAGATAACTCACTACCTTCGGACCAGCCTATTCTCAATATATGTTTGGTTTGTACTTCTATATTTTATAGTTACTTACACAAACATTTCTCAGGTGAAAGTGACTGTAAGCATGAAAGGTTTAAGAAGCTCTGATCTAGTCTGAAGTGTCAGTCCAGGCCATGAAGAGAGCCATTTCCTCACCTTTCTGCTTGTAGAGATACCCACGGTCCTTGTTTTGTGTCTTTCTACCTCCTTCTTCAAAGTCAGCAACATCACATCTCTGAGAAACTGAGTTAACAAGGAGCTATACATAAAAGGATTGAGATCGGTGACTTATGATCATGAGTCCTCAGGTGGACATCAGCAGGGTGTGTGTGTGTGTGTGTGTGTGTGTGTGTGTGTGTGTGTGAAGCTGTGTTGAGCATGGCAAGAGAGTCAGGTCCTCAGGTAGACATCAGCATGGTGTGTGTGTGAAGCCATGTTATCATTGCGAGAGAGTCAAGGCCTCAGGTGGACATCAGTGGTGTGTGTGTGTGTGTGTGTGTGTGTGTGTGTGTGTGTGTGTGTGTGAAGCCATGTTGAGCACAGTGAGAGAGTCTGGTTCTTAGGTGGACATCAGTGTGTTGAGCATGGGAGAGAGTCAGGCTGCAGAAGGTGTAGTATCCCATTGGCAGGGATGGGGGAGTTTGGGTTTTGTTTTGAGGGCAGTAGCAAGTCACTGGAGGCTAACGCAGGTGAGTGACATGAATAAACAAGCTTTTAAAGAATTGTTTTGTTTAAATGGGAAAGAGTTGGATGGAAATAGTGAAACCTAGAAAACATGGGACTATGGCTGCACAGATGTCTTTGTCACCCTAAGAACATCTTTATTTATTTCTATTTCATTGCTTTATGTCTATTTTTAATCTTATTGGCTTTTTACTTGCTACTACTGTGATTAAATTAATGAGCAAACTTGCTTTCTGTTTCCTTCTTTGTCTATGTACACGAGCAACAACTTTGTGAACAAAACTCTTCATATACTTAGGCTTCCTTCTTCTCCCTCCCTTTCCTTCTCCCTCCTTTTCTTTTCCCGCCTCCCTTCCCTTCTTTTCCTCTTCTATTCCCTCCTCTTTCCCACCCCCTCTTCACCTTCCCTTCTCCCTTTCCTCTCCTTCCCCTTTCTTTCCTTCCTCTTCCCCTCCCTCCCTTCTCTTTTCTTCCCTCCCCTCCCTTCACCTTTCCTTTCTGTTTCTCTCCTCCCTCCCCTTCTCTCTTCTTCCCCCTACCTCTTCTCTTTCCTCCTCCCTCCCTTTCTGTCTCTTTCCTCCTCTCCCCTCCCTTTTCCTTTCTCCCCTCTCTATCTCTTCCCTCCATCTCCTTTCTTCTTTTCTGTTCATCTCTCCCTCCTTTCCTGTTTTTTTTTCCTTTTTGATGAACTATTAGACAGGAAATGACTAATTCAAAAGTATAAGGATTTTGAAAACTTTTGACACATACATTGCTTCTATTACATTCTCGTTGGCATGCATGAAGCTACCTTCAAAGCTGAACCCTGGGTTGGGATGGAGTTCAGATGCAGAACATTCTTGAGAAACACAAACGAAGCGTTACAGTAATGAATTTGGGGGCTGGAACAGCCAGTGGTTAAGAGCATAGTTTATTCTTTGAGAGGATCTGAGTTTGTTTCCCAGAGCCTACAGTGGGTGGCCCACAAGCTGCTGTAACTCTAGCTCTAAAGGATTTAACTCTTCTGCCCTCCAAAAGCACCTGCATCCCCACACACACACACACATTCACACACACACATACACACACACACTCACACACATTCACACATACATACACACATACACACACACACATTCACACATGCACGCAGGAATGCACACTGGCACATACGCATGCACTAAAAACAAATCTTTAAAATAATACATTTGGATGATTTGACTTTTTTTCAGAAATAGCTGAGACAGATCTAAAAACTGACATGCTAAGTGCTTAATAAATTCTGAATCTAACTTAGGCTCCGTAGTATGTAGATTGAATTTGGTGCTCACAGTTCATGTTGTCTTGAAAAATTTACATATTTCAGTTTTATCGTTTTCTTTCACAGCGAAATACAGCCTTTTGAGTGCTCCAACTGCACTTCACAAACACACGACTCTTTGCTGCAACGTACCCCTGCTTTTGTGTGGCTATTTCACACCGATGTGGGGAGTGTTGATGACAGTTTTATTTCTATTACTTATCCATTCCTTTCTTGTTTTTTTTTTTTTTTTTAAAAAAAGTAAAACTACCAAACAACTATCCCTCAAGGAACAGAATGCAGAGTTAGTCTTTTTTTTTTCCTGCTGTGAGCTGAAGCACACAGATGTTATGGAAAAAGAAGAGTAGCAACTCCAATCTTATGCAAACCTCTGCCTGCAGGAGCAAACACACCCTCTCCATGTGACTATAGGCACCGACACGCTTTCTTCATGTGACTACAGGGGCAGACACTTCATTTTCATGTGACTACAAGGACAGACACACCCTCCTCCTATAGTATGGAGGCTTCTAGTTAGTTCCTATCCACTTAACCTCGAAATAACCACACAGAAACCATATTAATTAAAACACTGCTTGGCCCATTAGCTCTAGCTTCTTATTGGCTAGCTCTTACATATTAATTTAACCCATTTCTTTTAATCTGTGTATGGCCCCGTGGCTGTGGCTTACCGGCTAAAATTCCCGGAGTCTGTCTCCGGTGGCTCCATGGCTTCTCTCTGACTCTGCCCTTCTTCCTCCCAGCATTCACTTTAGTTTTCCCAGCCTAGCTGTTTCTGCCCTGCTTTACTGTGGGCTCAAAGCAGGTTCTTTAATAACAAATGGTGTTCACAGCATACAGAGGGGAATCCCACATCACATGAAGAGGGCATGTCTGCCCCTGTAGTCACATAAAGAGGGTGTATCTGCCTCTGTACTCACATGAAGAGGACATGTCTGCCTATGCACTGGCAGGAGAATGATGTGGGAGTCCCCTCTCCATGTGACTACAGGGACAGACACTCCCTCTTCACGTGAATGCTGGGGTGCTCTCAAAAGTCAGTGATGAACTTCTTTAAAAGGCTTTTACTTTTCCCATCTTACTTCAATTATGAAATTGGAAATGTTGTCTCGTAAGGGAGTGTGTGGTGGGGATCATGATAATCTTCAACTAAAAACATTTGACAAAGGAATAATTTAAGACTGACCTGACAGTGGCCATGGGCTGTTTGCAGAATTATTAATGACTCATAACATTGAAAGTCCTGCTTTTATAGTAAAGAAATGCTGATTGAAATGAGCAATCGTTTCCACCTATCAAATGGGCGAAAGTAAAGATATTCTTCAGGGTTGGTAAGGGTACAGGGAGGTACATTTGCAGACTTGGCTGTTTGGAATATAAATCGGCATAAGCATTTTAGAAATCAATTTAGCAATATGTATTAAGAACTGAAAAAGAGCTCACATCCTTTATGACTCAGTAATTTCTCTTTTATAAGTCTATTATAAAGTAAATTATTCAGAAATTGAATGCCCAAGGATGTTTGGTGCATTGTTATTTATAACATCAGAATATGAAACAGAACCTAAATATCAAGCAAGAAGAAAGCAGTTGAATACATTACAGGGTAGACCATCTGGAGACCATGGCTCAAGCCCAGCAGGACTGCACCACCCCAGGCCCAAGAAGAACTTGCCTTTAAACAGACTCAGGCCATTCCTCTCGGGGAGTATGGGAACCAGCAGCCTCATCTTGGGGAATTTGTGCTTTCTAACACAAAAGAAGTATCAAATGGGACACATGGATCCTCAGAGGATGGAGTCTGGTCATCTGGAGTTATGGAGAGGTCATAAGTCACTCTGATTTACAACCACATTCCAGAGCAATGTGTGTATGATATCATGTGGTGGCTACCTCAGCCTGTCTACCGCTTCCCATAGCAGCTTAGAACTTTTGCCTTCCGTGATCGCACAAGCTGCGGCCCCCAGCATTTAATAGGGAGATCCCTGAGAGAACATTTTAGACTATCCCTAAGAGTCAGGATGAGTTTCTTCTTGGGAGAACACCACCTAACACTTTACCTCTGTGGATCTTTGTGAAGGAGCAAGGAAGTGGGTGGCGGCTGTGGGCTTTGCAGTCCGATCCTTTGGTGTCCCGTTCTACACCGTTAGTTCGGGCAACACCAGTTTTGTTTCCCATGTTCACGTTTCCTTGGCCTAGGAATTGTGTTTTAGACCATTGTAGTGACTACCAATGAGGATCCTGCTTGGAAATAGACGCAAGGCTCTCACACAGTGCTCCGTGGTGCTGTAACAGCCACGGGGTGATGTAATGAGTTTGCCCAGCAAGTAGCGAGGCATCATGGCGGCTAAGGATCATATGACCCCCAGATGCAACCTCTGTACGTGTCAGGTGACAGACTGACTATACACAGTAGCTTAGAGAGTGTGTGAAAAGGCTCCAAGAGGATGCTGATGAAGAGGTACTTGACCTTCATCTCACAGGTGCAGGGAGAGTGATGCATTGGGGTAAGTTGAGCACCAAGGGAAGTAGTGGTGTGATGGCCATTTTTGTGTGTTTAGTCCCAGCTCAGTTTATCTGTTAGGTGACTGGTACCCTCTGTGAACCTCTGTGAGTAGACCCGGAACTGTTTAATGAGGAAGCGGTTTTAGTGCTTCATTCATATCGAGACATTCATTTTAAACAGACCACAATTAGCTTTACGGTTTTAATTGTATCGAAATTCCTCATCGTAACCTATCGCTTTATTGTATGAGTCCATTAACCTGCGTGCCACGGAGTGCAGCTTTAGACCGGTGTTTATATCTGGACTAATTACATAGATGCCATCAGGATAGGATGAGAGGCTTTTCAGATCGCCACAGGAGGAATTATCTGAACCCCTTTCCAAACTCCGGGGTTTGGAGCAACATCCAAATCGAACCCGAAAGACGCTGAACGATATTCCAAGCGCCTTGCTTTGAAATATCTATCACTCTATCAACAAGGAGAGGCAGTGTGGTAATTCTCCCATTATGCGTGACTTCCATATGCTTCTCATTTGGAAGTTCTCGGGGAAGCACTGGTCTGCAGGCTCCCCAATCAAAACCAGGTGGCTAATGGTCACAAGCGGGGGCTGGGGACCATGAGGAGATTTGTGCCTTGTTTATTAGGGTGGAGACGGAGCATCCAGGCCACTAGCCGAGGGCTTGGAAGATGAGATAAACCAGGAGCCACCAGATCCAGCTCTCTGAGGGGGACCTTTGTTAATGACTGCGAAGGTGGCTCAGCTGTTAACGCCTGGTTGACCGGAAGCACTTCTTCCTGGAGTCCGGAGTGGCTGACGGCGCTTGCCGGGCGTGTTGGGTTCACGCAGGGCAGGGCGGTTTCTCACTTGCCCTGAAGGAAGGAGTACTGAGGTTAGAATCGGGCCCTTTGTTACCTCACAGATGCTCAGCAGCGGGGTGTTTATAATGCCCATCAAGCAGGCTTCCGTTGCACCTGTTGGGGACCAGCTGCAGCGAGCAGGTGTATCTAGGGACTGAGAGGACTGGTGGCTGTGGAGAATTCTGAGGCCTGCCAGATGTATGCCACAAAACAACAGGCCAACAGCTGGGGAGACAGGAAAAATGTGGATTTAATTAAAATGATGTGCAAATTTGATTATTAATTTTAAGCCCACCGTGTGAATGCTCTCAACAGGCGTGCACACATACACACGCATGCGCGCACACACACGTATATATAAAATGTGTGTTTTAGAACAACTAAATGGAATGTGTGAATGGAATGAGCCCCGCCCCCCCCCCCCAATTCCATGCACATTATCTTTTGTTCATTGGGTCACACAGTGTCTATTGTATTTCCAGCCCAATGACATTTTTCTTCCCCCCCAGGCAGGAAGCTAAATCTTTAGTGTATTTGAGAGAACCTTGCAATCTCAAGAACATAGCTGCTGGTTTAAACAGCTAAGGGGAATGGGGTATCCTCTGCAACCTGCTTTTCTATGTGGACTAGTTACATAATGTATTCAGGGTGGCACAGGCAACTTTGATGATTGCTCGTATTCTGGATCGTAGACACTCACAAGATCCCACCCATCCCTTAGTTTCTTACTTACCATTTCCACAGGAATTGAGACCCACCATGTTTTGTGAGAGAGGGATTTTTGGAGGGATGTGGATCCCATTTTTGCTGAATTCCATCTATAGATTAGAATATACATGGAGCCTGAGAAGGGCTTGCAGTAATGGGCCTTGGAATGGTTGTGTGTCATAATCTTATCACTGAGCAAGGCTGCTGGTGCGAGTCTTTGCTTGCCACTCAAAAGAGCAAGGGCTGAGTATACCCTGTACCTAGGAAACAATACCCTCATTGAGCAGCACCCAGTGGCAATTCACCTTAAAACTTGCCAAAGAGCCAACTGCACTATTGGCCGTCTGAGCTGAGTATAGAATCTGAGATATGAGATCTGTATGTACTGCCACCTTGCAGAGCCAAATCTCAGTATTCTTTTAAGGCATTAGTTCTTACCTCAGGGCCTCTTCCTGAGCATGGTACATGTAGGCTATCCCATTTAAAAGGGTGCTTGTAATTCTAAGGAACAAATTGGGGTTTGGGCCTCAGTGCGCAGCTTTTCCATGAGGTGGTCCTCCCTGCTCTGGTCTTGGATGCTAAGCTTCTGCCCTGCCAGTTAATCTCATGGATTCATGCAGAATGATGGTACCATAAGTGTAGTCACCTATAAAAAAAAAAGCTACCAACAACAAAACAGACCTGATCAGAGAGGGTTCTTTGTTCAGAGTAAGTGGTGAACACAGAACCTCTGGTCAAACAACGGGTCGAAGGGCAAAAGAAAGGTGTCTGTGGAGTGTAGCCACAAATGAGATTCTGTTTCATTCCCCTTACTGCAAGGCCCAGGGACCATCTCGGGAGAAGAAGCTTACAGATGGAAGAGACAGAGATCAGGGGACCCTGGTGGAATGTCTGGACACAATAGGAGCACGGTTCTCGGGAACTCCCAGCAGCTGGGGTTGCTGGCTGGAGACCTATACAAGCAAGTCCGCATTTCACTCCTCCTCCTGCTGAGGAGCTATTGACCCTCCCCAGAGATGCTGTGAGAGTCAGGGTTTCTTTAAGGTGTAGCTCCTGGTAGGATGACCATGGACAGTGGGGTGACCTCACACCCATAAGTACATGGGTAACCCAAATTGGACTTAGGAGAAGAGGACTCAAAATTGAGATGGGGTGAGAACTGAGTCTGAGAGGAGTTGGGGGTGGGGATACAGGGTGAATATGATCAAAAGATATCGTACACTTGCATGAAATTTTCAAAGAATTAATAAAAAAGAAGTGAAGAAAGAATATCAATAACAGCAATAGCAATAACCATAAAACAACATCACCCAAACTGAAACTACTGCTCACTCTTTCTGTGGGCCAAGATCCCAGGCAATTAGTATCCAGAGATCACAGGAAGTATGGCACACTGGGGCCACTTTGAAATGTGCTGGTCATACTGAGTGTACAAGAGGTACTCAAGAGCTTCGGTGGGGCCACAAGCTACACATCCAGGAAGAGCGTTTTCCTTCTCAGCTTTCTCTCCCTAGGGATCATTGCCCCCCAGATGTGCCTTACATCTGTGTCACTGGGTCTCTGCTCCAGCTGTGCTCCCAACTTAGGTACTTCATCAGACTGGGAGGCTCAGCTCAGATTCACCCAGGCGTTCCTCAGACCCTTCTGGATCCCTTTGTCATTATGAATGGCAGGGAAGTATCTGGCTGCACCTTCCCTAGAGCAAGTATTCGGTTCCGAATTGTAGCATAGTTACTTCTATAAATATCGACCTACTTTCAAGAACGGAGCCATGTCTTATGTGTTGTGCTTTTTAATTTTTCCCCTGTAACTACTCGTTTCCACATGGGGAATAATAATAAGTGTTGATTGAATGAAGTTCCCCCAAGTAATCCACTTGACTTTTACACGTCTTCTTTCCCAGTCATGCTGGCCATGTGCAGCCTATCCCTACCGAAGTTTCAGGTGTATTTTCACGTTATGTTCCCGGCATCTACATGGTAGCACACAACCACCTATATATACCTCCACTTCCAGAGAATCGGAAGTGTTGCCTCAGGTTTTGCCTTCTCTCCCCCATCTCCTCAGTGACTACAGAAGCCACCCCAGTGGAAGCCGCCTGAGCACTTGCTGCCTTAGCTTGACAAGTTCCAGAGCCAAGCTTTGAGCCATTCCATCTGACATTCCCACGTCTGACTGAGGCTGGGATCTTGCCCGGGATCTCCTCCATGCCATTCTGATGTGGAAGGCAGAACTGCCTGCTCAAAAGGACTCATCTTTCTGGAACAGCACCAAGCCTGGAGGCAGACTGGCTTTGCAGCCCTCAACAGGGGCTTCCGGCGGGGCCCGCCATCCCTGCGGGAGTTCAGGTGCTTTTTGCTCAATGTGAAATCACATTTTATTCTCTCTAATTACCAACTGGATGATAGAAGTTCTTTGGTTTCCGTTTGTTCAGCTCAGTGTAAGATAATAAAACCGCTCCATCACACACCGATTTAAATAACTACTGTTGGGTTTTTGGTGTGTGTGTATGTGTGTGTGTGTGCTGTTAAACATGGCATCAATAAAGCATAACCCAAATGCTTTTCCTGATGCAATGTTCCCTTTCTGTCCTCTTTCCCTAAGGCTAATTACCTCTTGGAAGAAAAAAAAAAGTGGGGGAAGCTAAGGAAAGGAAAATTCAGGTAAAGAGCAAGAAATATCTCTGACACTGCAAAGGAGCTGGTGTTGTTTTTTGTTTTTGTTTTTGTTTTTTCTTTTTGTGCTTAATATGATAGCAAAATAAGCCAGACATGCAGGCCATAGTAGCAGAATGACCCTTTATGGATGCTTACTTACAGTTCATTGCAGGGAGGGTGGCTATCTGTCTAGCAGTTGCTCTCTCTCCCTGCAGCTCCTTCCAGAATCTTCCATGAATAAAAAAAACTCTAAATCGTTGATCCTACAAAGTGATATCCAGCAGGTTTGGGATTTGCAGTTCATTGTGTTTTAATGGGGTCCTTCTAGACAGAGGATCCTGCCCCAGGAGTATGGGGAATTGTAATAGTAACAGCCGGATGAGCTTGGCCCCAAGAGGTGGTTACCCAGGGATAGCTAAAGCAGCCGGATCACTGGAAAATTCTTGGGGTAGGTGGGCAGCTAACGAGTTCCAGGTGGCTCCGAAGCAAACCATTGTCTATAATAAGAAAAGACAATGAAAACCAAAGAAGCTTGTAGCCCTTGTGGTTAGGAGGGGTCAGTCTCAGCGAACAGAGGGAATTTCCTCCAGACATCTTGACTGCATACCCAGCAACTCAAAAAGATGGGAAGCCTGGAGGCAGGAGCTGATGCAGAGGCCATGAAGGGGTGCTGCTTACTGACTTGCTCCTTATGGCTTGTTCAGCTTGCTTTCTTATAGAACCCAGGACCACCAGCCCAGGGATGGCACCACCCACAATGGGCTGGGCCCTCCCCCATCAATCCCTAAATAAGAAAATGCCCTACAGCTGATCTTATGGAGACACTTTCTCAATTGAGGTTCCCTTAGCAGGCAGAGGGCGAATAGTTCAGTGGGTAAAGTACTTTACAAGCATGAAGATCTGAGTTTGATTCCTAGAATTCACGTTTTAAAAAGAGCCGGAGGCAGTGGTTCCCTGATTGTAATTCTAGCAGAGACAGAGAAAGGTGGGTCTCTGGAGTTTGCTGGCCAAGTAGACTAGTTAACTTGGTGACCTTCGGGGCAGTCAGAGATTCTGTCTCAAAAATCAAGGTGGGTAGTAAGGCACCCAAAGCTGACTTCTGTCCTCCACATTCAATGCACAGATACACACAGGCACCCCCACATGTGCACACACAAATATACATGTGAAGCAGTTCACATATACTGTGACTGTGCTTGGTGGAAAGCAATTGTCTAGCATGGACAAAGCCATGGATCCTGTCCCCGGCACTGCCAAAATCTAGCAAAAGATCAGCCTCCATGTGATGTGAACTCTGTCTTCACAGAAAGGGTCAGAGGACTGGACAGATAGCAGCTTTCTGACCTGTGTGGGCCCTTCTCATCACTCCCCAATCACCTTTCAACACCCTTCAAACCTTCCAAACACTGAGAACGGCTTCTACATTCTCCGTGTATCCTGTTGGTTCTCCACCTCCTGTGTAACTGGCTACAGAAACCTGTAGGCTTTGGGAAGAATGTCTCAGCATGCCTGGAGGTGGGGGGCAGAGTCACAGTGCAGCTGTAATAGTCTTGCTATTACAAGTCAACCCCTTAGCACTGTTATTATTACCCTGCCCTAGGGAGGGCTAAGCTCTGTAGTGGTCTGGTCTTAGCTTATGTCTTTCATACCTTCTTACCTGCCTTCTGCAGAGCGAGCTTGCTTTCTTCTAGTGTGAGGATTTTCTCTTAAGGTAGGGTCTCTCTATGCATATGAAGACTAATCTAGTTTCAAATTTGAGATGTTTCTGCCTCAGCCTTTTCCAGGGCTGGCATTATAGGTACACCACCACATCTGCCATGGGGATTTTCTCTCCTCTCCTCTCCTCTCCTCTCCTCTCCTCTCCTCTCCTCTCCTCTCCTCTCCTCT